GTCTACTGAAGAATTCATCCCACCCATCAGTCATTGTACTGTAGTATCTTCGAGCCAGCTTGACGCCATGGCAATGACCCTGTCACCACCTTTAACACTCCACGAAGTCGAGCTTGCAGCCAAAGCCAAGCTACCGCAGCATATATACGAATTCTATGCTTCTGGCTCGGATGATGAGAAAGCGCTGCGTCGCAATATTGATGCATTCAATCGGTATGGTAACCCACCAAACCACCACCAAAGAAGTTCTATTCGTATACAAAGTCACGTACAGCTAACAAGAAGTCTCTAAACGCCTTACAGATTGTTTATAAGACCACGCGTCCTCATTGATGTCTCCCGCGTCGATACGTCCACCAAATTGTTCGGTTGGTCTTCGCCAATTCCCATCAGTATAGCTCCTAGTGCCATGCAGAAGCTGGCTGGTGGCCAGGGAGAGCTTGATGTGGCCAGGGCTGCGGCCTCTATGGGCGTCAATGTGACCTTGTCATCACAATCGACCGCTTCTCTCGAGGATGTCCAGGCCACCAGGCAAAAAGCCATGAGAGATGCTGGGCGTCAAGCACCGCCACCGTGGATGCAGTTGTACCTGTACGAGGACGTCAAGAAGAGCGTCAATCTGATTAGACGAGCCGAAGGTAATCGACTCTACCTGCAATCGCCCCTCAGTAAGAGATCTTTAGACTAACGCCTTGCGAAGCTGCTTCATACGAAGCCCTGGTCCTCACTGTTGACACTCCTGTCCTAGGCAATAGACTCGCTGAGCGACGAACCGCCGTCGTCCTCCCCCCAGGCATGAGCCTCCCCAACACCGAAACCCCATCCAATCCCAACTCGAAACTCCCCAGCGTCAATCGCCTCCTCATGAACGCCAGGACCGCCACCGAAGCGGCAGACCTCATTGCTAGCGCTGGCTCTAGGATGCATAGCTCCAGCCTCACCTGGGCAAAGACCATGTCATTCCTCCGAGGAGTGACCAAGATGAAGATCATCCTCAAGGGCATCATGACGGGCGAAGACGCAGCGCTCGCTGTCAAGCATGGCGCCGACGCCATCATCGTCTCAAACCATGGCGGACGTCAGCTGAGCAATACCTGCGCCACGATCGAGGCTCTACCTGAAATTGTCGACGCCGTCAAAGGCCGTATACCAGTCATTCTGGATGGGGGGATCAGGACTGGGGCAGATGTCTTTAAGGCGCTGGCATTAGGGGCGGACTTTGTGTCGATTGGTCGACCGGTGCTCTGGGGGCTCGCCTATGCCGGGCAAAACGGTGTGGAGTCTGTACTACACATCCTGGAGAGGGAGTTTAGCCGAACGATGGCTTTGGCTGGGGTAAATAAGGTGGCGGACATCAAGAGGGATAGGCTTGGAGTTGTGGCAAGGGACGGATTTGGGGTTGCAAAGCTGTAATGAAAGATGAGGGTGCTGTAAGGAAATGATGTCGGAGTATATGAAATGAATGGGCGATAAATAGGTTTCAATACTAAAACTCGCTTACACTGTGAGACTTGAGCAAACTTATGATGAGATGGCAGTCACATCTGAAGGATATCAGACCTGTCCATCATCCAAAGTTATCTCTATATCCACATTAATATCGAATCACGTCGAGCTCGGTTCAAATATTCAAACTAGCACTAGGTGAGGATATGTCACAACTGCTCCACTAACATAAACATGCTTCAATATTATTTGACAAACAGGAATCTATTCAATCACACCGTACGCTTTTTTTCAAAGTCCAGCAGCCTCAGCGAAAGAAAAGTTCCTGCTACTTGGGCAGTACGAACAACGCCCCGAAGCAGTACGTCTAAGAGGAAATAACATGCAAACTAATAACCCCTCATCCATATCACTGACAGAGACAGCACAGTCTCAGTGACCCAGGCCCTTGGCCCTGGCACGCTCAACATCTCTCCAGTACCTCTGCGCCGTCCACTCCCGCATCGCCTTGCCATACCTCGTCATGATGAACAGGCTCGCATTCCACAACAAGCCGATACCAGCGACCGTAAGGTACACTACCATGTAATTGGTCGCCTTCAACCACGGCGTGACTCCAAAGTTGGTCGCAAACGACATGGTGTTCCGGATCAACACACACGTCGTCACCATGGAGCCGGACAGCTCCATATAGCTGCCGATGGCGTAGTTCAGCGCTCCAGCTACACAGAGCGCGGCGTTCATGGCCATGAAAACTTGTGTGATTACCAGCACCATCCAGTGCCATTTGTATGTCACACCGAGACCGTAGAGGATCATGGCGGTGGGAACGAGGAAGATGGACGCGATGAACAGGTAGAGGGTGTGCTCAGGCTCGGAGATGCCGCCGTTGCGTCGGGCCAAGCGGACAGTAAGCATAGGACCAATCTTGCCACAATAGTAGCCACTAGAGCAAAGTTCTGTTAGCGCTGATCAAGATGGGGAGCCAAGATGAAAGATGGCATAGTAAGGGACTTACCCAATAATAGTACCGATGACACCACCAGAGTATGCTGCGGCGACGCCGGCAGTTGAAAATCCGTACTCAAGGGTGTAGATGGTGCCAATAGTGGCATTCTGGAAGCCTTGCCATACAAGACTGTTTGCTCCATACATGAGACTGGAGAGAGAGTTCTTGTTAGTTCACTTTCATGACATGATAACGCGTGGTATATGCAGTAACGTACCCAGCGTAGACCACTGCCGGATAAGTGAAGCCCTTGAACGGCGCGATCATGATTTGAACGATGCGGTTGGGACGAGGCTTGTCCTTGATGCTGAGCTTTTGGAGGTACGTCTTGCGCGGCCACTGGATCTCAGCAGATTCACCGAGGTCAGAGGAGGTCGTATCCAGCGTCACCGTCTTCTCCCCGTCACCGTCACCGTCACCGTCACCGTCACCGTCACCCTCCTGCGTAGATGCCTGGCTTACAGGAGCAACCCGCTGGGGTGGCAGCTCATCATGTTTCCTATCGTAATTGGTCTCCTCCATCAAGAAGAAGCAGTATATGAATCCCATGGCGTTCCAGATAGCACACCAGTACAGCGTCCACTTCCAGCCCTGACCAACGTTGATGAAACCACTCAACATGGGCGCGAGCTTGCCGCAGAGAGCGAGCGACCAGCCGTACCAGGCCATGTATTTGCCGCGCTGGTGGGTGAACCAGATATCGGCGATGGAAATCTCACAAAGGGATTCAACGGGGGAGCCAAAGAAGCCGAGGATGATACGGTTGGCGAGATAGGGACCTGGCTCCTTGCACAAGGGGGCCGTGGCCAGGATGACGATGGTGGCAAGGAGGGAGAAGAGGTAGATGGGTCGTTTGCCACATTGAAGGGCCATGGCTTGCCAGAAGATACAGCCCCAGCCGTAGAAGAGGAACTGTTCACGTCTGTTAGTTTGAATTCATGACGCCAGGGATTTCATCAGGGGATTCTGACCATGATGCCGGTTCCATTGTTGATGTCCTGAAGCGACAGATCAGTTTCCTTCCTAAGAGGCGTGACGATAGAGTAGACGGCACTCGAAGGGATCGCGATGACGATGGTGTAAAGGACAACACAGCTAGTCTGTATGACCTTGCGCCTGAAAGTCCAGTTGAGGGGATCTTCAGGATCCAGCGACGGCTGGGGCATCAGGATAATGTCATCCTCACCCTCGCCGTCAGCGTGCTGGCCTCTCATGTTGCCATCTATGTCGATGAGCCTGAAGGTGCCGGGAGGAAGTCTATCGCCAGCCGAATCGGCGCTGTGTTCAGCTTGGACAACAGTCATAGTGACGGACTCGTTGAGCAGACTTGATAGGAGCTGCTAACTCAGAGTACGAAAGGAAAAGAGAGGTGAGGTAGTGAGAGAGAGTGAGAGAAAGAGTCTGGAGAGGCCAGATGCAAAGACAGTCTCCAATTGAAAATGACAGGAGTATGGCCTCTCATGGATGTTTATGTAGTTGACTGGCTACGCGGTGGATTTCCATGTGGCTGATAAAGTCATGAATGGAATCTTGAACACACCAAACACCCGCCAAATGATAGGCAATATGCTTTACGAAAGGCTTTATCCAGGTATGCATGCAACCTTGTATCTTGAGTGCAATTCAGACTCAGGGCAAGTCTTTCCCCGCAAGTTCTGGGCGCCAGCTAATCGCTCTCTATCTTATGTTAGTGCCTATCATCCCAGCAATCGGTATCGCAGGGATAAGGCAATGAGGGGCTTTCGCGCTAGTATATCGCGTCTACAGGATGGAGTAAAAGTTGGCGAAGAGTAGTTTCGGAAATGGCAAGAAGGAGCAGAGGCGCCTTGCTTCAATTGGTAAAGGCTGACAGGGGCGGAGGAACCACGCTAGGGGATGAAAGAACACTCAGGACCCTAGTCCTAGGTGACAAAAAGACTTGGGTAAATTAGCCCAAGTTTAGCCCAAGTTTAGGATAACCTTTGCTAAGTTTATTTTGACACCCTATCTCGAGGTCTGATGTTTTCTTGCTCCCCGGGGCCACGCATGGCTGTGGATGCGGCGCCAGTATAGTTGAGTCCGGGGTGCATTGGGAGATGATGATAATGCAATTGGTTTTATTGGCTCTGGAGAAGGGTTTATTGGATCAAATTGATACGGAACAGCCCGAGGGCTTGACTGATTTCTGGGGGTGGTGGGCCTAAAGATAGCACGCTGGACGGATGCATGGATGCTGATCCCGCGATCGGAGGCCCTGCGTCGGCTTACCTTGGGTATCAAGGAGCATTTATCGTATCGGGACACAGCACAATACCCAAAAAGGACTTACTCGTAGAACTTGGCGAGATGGATGGATGAATTCGTTCTCTTTGACTGATACTACCATTGGCCATCGACTTGATAAGAGATCTAGCATGGAGAGACACTACGCACGTGTCAGACAGATGCATTGTGAATACAAAGTTCGAGTAGCCATCGACAGCAAGTTTATCGGCTCAAATATACCAAAGGACAGATCAAATAATTCCAAGTCTACCACTATGCTCTCCCCCTTGGTCCATTCGCATCACTTCCGCCCCATAGCACGCTCAATCTCCTCCAGCGCAGCCAACACCTTCTCCTCCTCCTGTCTCCTCCCGACAACCTGCAAGTTCACCGGGCTCCCCTTCATCTTCTCCCCATCGTACATCTCCCACACGAACCTGTCCATGTCGTTCTTGGGCAGGTACCCCTCGTCCTTGACATCAACGGCAGGGTCAACCTTGGTCACAGGGAACACGGCGCCCGGGTAGTCCAAGAGGTTCCACTGCGAGGTGTAGCCCCAGTAGCGCGATTGCTCGTGGGGAGGCGCGCTGCCAAAGGACGGAGGGCAGAGGATCACGTCGACCTCGCGGGAGGTGGGCGTGGCGGTGGCGGACCATGCTTTGCAGTACATGGCGCGGTAGGAGTCTCGCTCGCGGTTAAGCTGCGTGGAAATAGAAATATTAGTCTGAGATAACAGCTGAGCAACCAACGCCCCGGGGAAACTGTATCACTTACCTCCATCATCTCAGTACATGTCCGGTTCTTTGCTGACGTTTGCTCGTAAAGAATATGCTTGGTGAGTGGTAACGCCGGCTCTCCTGTCTCTTCTAAGATATCAAGCATCTCCTTACCCCCATCTGGCCAATACAAAGCCGACACAATTTCCCAAGCCTTACCGTGATCCAACCCCTCGCAGTTCCAATCCACGACCTCCATTCCTGCCTTCCTACATGCAGCCGCCACCTCCCTCAGCGCCCTTTTCATAGGCGGATGCGGCATCACCACGCCATCCCACCACTGCACGGCGACCTTAGGTGGCGTTGTGAACTTGAAGGGGGTCCAGTCTTTAACGGTGAGGAGGGGATCTACACGCCAGGGTTTCGCAGCCAGGGCGACGCGCATGAGGAGCTCGAGGCCGTCGCGGCTTACTGTCATGGGGCCAGGGCAGCCAGCGATGGTATCACGGCCCAGGTAGGCGGCTCGAAGGCCGGAAGTTGAGATTCTCTTCGTTGACGGTCTGGGCATGGTCAGCCGTGGGGGTGTCCTGACAAGGCAGATCCGGAAGGTCACTTACTTGAACCCGTAGATGCCAGTATTGGAAGCAGGGAGTCGGATGCTGCCACCAATATCACCACCAATACCCTTCCAGAGAGTCAGTCTCACGACAACATAAGGACAAGAATTCTTCGAAAAGCCAGCGCACTCACCAACAGACTTCCCCTCATACCTAGTAACGCTGACTCTCCTCCCGAACTCCCTCCAGGTGTCAACTCCCTGTTCAACGGGTGCACCGTCCTTCCATACACGTTACTCTCGGTCTCCAGATGCATGATTGCCTGCGGCTGTGTCGTCCTGGCGAAGAAGACGCAGCCCTCGGCCCATAGGCTATCAAACAGGAGGTTTGAGCCGTGGGGTTTGCCGACCCAGGCAGCGAAGGAGGCGTTGGACGTGACATTTTCGCCGATCATGCCAAGGTGTTCCTTTGTCGAGATAGGCAGGCCAAAGAGGGCACCTTGGGGGAAGGGTAAAGAGTCTAGGTGTTTAGCGCGGGCGATAGCTTGATCCCAGAGGAGCTCAGTAACGCAGTTTGTCTGGAGTTTCCCCCGTCGTTAGCTTCCATAACGTTATTCTCGTATAGACTTTCGATTTGGCAAAACATACCGTAGCCTGGGCCAGCGCTGCTCTTCTCAAGAAAGCTCGCGTGACTTCTTCAACCGAAATCTTCCTCTCCCGAAGAACCTGGAGCAGCTCGGTGACGGTGTAGCTCTCTGTGATCTCAATCTCCCGCGGGGTGAGAACATGAGGCACCAGCTCCAGAGAGTTATTTGGCAGCTGTTCGGCAGCTGGTACACCCTTCAACGGCGGCTCGACCTTGGCGAGAGAGGCATCGCGATGGGCTCTTGCCTCAGCGGCCTTTTGCTGCCATAATGGAATTCCCTTGACAGCCATGATTGAGTTGGGTTATGCTTTGAGCTGTGGTATTGTACGATTGGCTGCGCCTGTATTTAATGCCGATTGGAGACCTCGTCGTCGTTATCTTTGTTATCATTCAGGAATAAGGAGAAGAAGCAGGAAGAAAGTCTTGAGCCACGATGCAAGTCAAAACATCAAGAAGGACACATCATTGTCGTTGATTGAGTTCAGTTGGCTCCATCACCTAAATGGTCTGTGGGTATGCGATGGCGCCCACCACCACAGATACGGATCCATTTCAGCAGCTGTAGAATGAGCTAATCGTGACCAACGGCCTCCACTCGTAACGGGAAGTAGATAGCGGACAGGTATCCATTGGTTCGTATAGTTTCCTTGATTTACTGGTGAAGGCTTAGTAGCTTAGGTAGTGCAGTGGATGATTGGGGGCAGATCACCCCAACTTCGGGCTGCGTTGTTCTCCACAACTTATCAGCGCAAGTCTGACTCGCGCCCCAGAATTCCCTCTTTCTAACGATAAGCGTCTGCATTACAGTAGCAGCCAATCTGGAGAACATTTGACGATAAGGGCGGTCCATCCATTCTAAGTTAATGAATGCGGAGAAGCCTCTGGGTCTTGTCGGCTTATCACCTTGTCCTCTACATATTGAGTAGGGAGGGCCCCAGTGGAGTGGTTCTCAATTACTCCGCAATAACCATTCGCCTTGAACTTCCTCTCTCAAGTTCCCCCCCTCTTCTCATCTGCTCATCGCCGGCATCCACAGAGACTATCCATATCCTTGTCGGCAGCACTTTCGCCATTCGGTAACAGACAGTCTGAACCAGAGAGGCTGGAGTGGAGAGCGATGGATCAAGGATCCCTGCGCAAAAGACGTCACAAGAGTTTCGCGGGGTGCTGGACATGTCGCGCGCGAAAAGTCAAGTGTGATGAGACCAGGCCGAGCTGTGTGCAGTGCAGCCTCAAGCAGCTTTGCTGTGAGGGCTACGAGGTCAGGCTGCGATGGATGCCTTTGGAAGCTGTATCTCACGGATATCGTCATGATGGGAGCAGGCGATCTGAGGATGACTTGGAACATGGCCAGCAAAGATTTCAGCGAAGTCTTGTCATTTGCGGTACGCGACTATGGTAGTCTACAGAGTACATTTCCTCATGAAGGCTGACCATTGTTGATTCAAAGATGAGAATGCAGAATCTCCCCTTCAGCTATCAGAACTCGATGATATCTTTAGCCAGATCGACAGCTTCCAGAGCCAAAAGGATCAGTCACATCACAACCAGCTCTTCTTGTCCAGCTTCGGCGTTTTTGACCCATCCTATACTGAAAAAGGCTACCATGAAGACGGCACATTGCCGTTCTACGCTACGGTACCGCCTTCGGAGGATACTCTGCCGTCTTTATCTAGCAATTCTTTCGCTGACTCTTGGGAGCCGGACTCAAGTCATGAGGAGTATCTTCCACATGCATCGATCCCTGGATTCAACCTGACTGGTTTTGGGGCCCTTCTTCATGCACATGAGGCCTCCGCGATCCTCACGTCAGATCAAGAGAGCTCAGCCATCACTCTTGAAGATAGCATTCAAGATAACACAGCTGTGATCCTTGGAGATCGGCCACCCGAGAGTCCCGCTACTTCAGTAACAACAGCGCCTCCTGAGAGATTCAACTACTACACCTCACCCCCCCAGCATTCTCAACAACAAGACGACCGCGCACTTTGGTGGAAAGACACCTCCAACACCATCATCCACAACCCCTCGCCCCTCCCCCTGCCCACCCTGGAACGCTTCCTCCTAAACCACTACGTCCACCGCGTCGTCCACCTTTTCTGCGTCATCTCCTACGAGAAATCACCCTGGAAGACAATCCACCTCCCTCGCGTCCTACAGTCCGCCGGCCAGCTGAGTCTGCACGGCTCCACGACAAAGGTCAGAGAGGCGTTGCGAAACGCGCTGCTGAGCATCAGCGCGTTCTACCTTGCGAATGATAACCGCGAGAGAGGGTGTGAGAACGAAGGGGATAGGTGGGAGGAGGATGCGGTGAGGTTTAGGGGCAGGGCGATCAAGTTGTTGAAGGAAACGGTGGAGGGGTCGACGCCACAGTCGAGGCCCAAGTATAAGGAGCTGCTGGCTACGATGCTGTCACAAATCACCATCAATGTGAGTTGCCTTTGCGCGCTGGGTGAACTGGATCATGTTGTCACATATACTAATTTCAAGGGGGTCATAGGTCATGTCTGGAGACACGAGCACCTGTGGCATCCATTTAGATGGCGCCTTCCGCTTCATGAACCACGTCAAAGCCACCAAGTCCACGTATTCCTCCAAAGCTCGCTCCCTCCACCGCATATACTTCTACCTCCGCGTCATCTACGACAGTACAGCCTGCAGGAACTCTGGCGACTACAACGATGGATCTCCACCCTCTCCCGAAGCCGACTTTGGCACCGCCCTATCCGTCAGTCTGCTGGACAAAGTCGAAGATGAAGGCGTAGGTTCGGGGAAGTCCAAGTCAGTTCTGAACCACGTCACTGCCCCAAAGGCCCAGCAAGTAGGCGAGTATGAATGCGTCTACGGTGTTCCTCAGGCCCTTCTCATCCTCCTAGCGCGAACAACCGAGCTCATCGACCAAGTCACCACGTCCCGCCAACAACAACCGAACAGCCCATCAACTGACTTTTCCGACCAATGCGACCAGCTCGAATCCGAAATCATCGACTGGGAACCCGCCTCGTCCTCTACCTCGGACTTAGACACAACTCCTAGCGCACTCATCATCCAAAAAACCACCCTCGCCTTCCACTCCGCCCTCATAATCTACTTTGCGCAACACATCCGCTACCTGCACCACAACTACCTTCGTACCCACATCCTCCTCGTCCTGTCCTCCATAGAAGCCATTGAGGCCATCAAGTCCGAGAAGAACATCTTCTCTGCCCCTTTGTACTGGCCAGCGTTTATAGCGGGGAGTGAGGCGTTCGAGAAGGGTCTGCAGGATAGGTTCAGAGGGTGGTATAGGAAGGTTGAGGGGTATAGATTAGCAAGCGTGAGGAGTGGGATTGATGTTTTGAGAGAGGTCTGGAAGAGGGGCCCAGGAGGAGGGAAGGGGACGAGTCATTGGAGGAGGGTGGTGCAGGAGACTGGCGTGAGGCTGATGCTAAGCTGACCATACATGATCATTGGTTTTCCGAACAAGCAGCGGCACTACGATTGAGTGGCTCAATACAAGAAAAAAGTTACCTATCCGGTGTAATCTTGCTCCACGCCAGGCGTGGAGCCCGCCGCTTTGAGATTCTAGGTTTACACTGCATCAAAGCTTCCTGGGCCAACCGAGCTGGAAAAGTGAGACAACGATTCCGTATATCCGACTATCTTCCTGACTACTTCGAAATCAGACAGACTGAGATCATAGGTTACTAGTTAGGTGTCAGGGGCTTTCTGTCAAGTGGTGCATGAGACCAAAAGCGGAAAGCAATTCGTTGATGGCTCCAACTGGCCAGCTACAACTTTCATTTTCTTTGCATTCTAAAAGTTCATATCGAGAATCTCTAAAGTGTGAAAATGATTGACCCCAGTGCTACCCAGACAAGCAAGGCATACTCACAGATAACAGCATCTAGTGTAAGACATACCTAGTGACAGCCCGGCAAGGCTCGAGATTGATCAACAAAGAATTTTCCGCAGTCTGGGGATGTTGTCTCAGCGGTAAATAACACTTCTAGCTCGCAACTTAGACATTATATCAAAATGCCTGACCAATTGCTACAGCATGAAGCTGATAAGAGGATCAACTTAGATACAAACTTTGATGATTTTCGCAAGTTGTAAAGGTCTGTTGATTCCGCCATGGCGATTACTAAATACACGATTTCAGGTGAAAGTATCGCGAATATATTGTCAGAAACCTGAAAGTCGGATATAGCGTAAGGCACTTTGGAAACATCTGTGATTACATGGGTTGCGGAACCAGGAGTGAGCGTGCTAGGATTGGCCATTATAAGGTTCCAGGACTCAGGCAGAATCAAGGGTGACTTGCAAAATTTCAGGGCACCACCAAAGTCATGGTTTGGGTAGAGGAAGTTGGAATAGAAGTTCTGCGATATGTTTCCGCTCAGTCTGGCTATAATTTAACAAGGAAATCTTTCGGAGTAACAGCTGCCAGCAGGATTCGTGAAAAGCAAATGTCTATGTCCCAGTCGATGGTGAATAGTTGAGACAATGCCATGCCAAATAATATTCTTGGCTAATGTATGATATAGTATGGTCGCTGCTCGCCAAAAAAGAACTTGCATCGAAATAGCCAACACCAGTGAGTGTTACTGTTGACAATCCTCCATGAGATGATACTGCGACAGAGTAAGCATCTGGAACGACAGGAATAAGGCTCACACGAACCTTCACTGATCGCGGATTTCTTGCTTCTCATCGAGCCGCTAAGGAGGGTTATAATGCAACATGAGCTATAACCGAACCATGGAATTTCGAAAGATGACTCCGCCAGGAGAAGACGAAGAGAAGTTCTCCCGGCATACCGTCTTCTAACCAACTGTGATGCCCATCCCAGCGATACTTGCTAGGGTTGAGGTAAACGCCGATTTTCACTTAGTTTTCTTTGCATGCAAACAGCTGATCACTTTGTAATCTTGCAGCCAAGTTTAGGGGCTATCTAATTGCTTAGCATACAGTACGTATATAGCAGAGATTCTATAGTTCCTACCCTCTTATGAGCTTTGGTAACATACTGATGCAGAAAAATATAGCTCACTTAGTTTCTTTAATAGTTAAGAAATAATATATAATATGCCTGCTAGTTTTTAGTATGGTAACAGTTGCTTTACTTCGGTTATGCTAGCCGGTATATAAGGTATAGGTGTGTTAATAGGTCTTTCTGGGTGGATAAGGGGGCTTGATAATATTGCTTGTCTTTCCTTTGAGTTCTGGGTCGCGATGACGTGAAGACCTGGTAGTGTGAATCTTGTCCATACGGCTGGGCTGGTCCTATGACTATCTCAAGAGCCGAGGGTCAATGATAAAGAAGATAGACGCTAGTAGAAACCATTTCTAAAGGAGATATTTGACCAGCCTCGGAATCGCGTATTATCGCGAAAGCAAGCCAATGGCATGTAAGCTGTACCACCCCATAATCAACCTACAGTGAATTGTTTATGCATTTGCGCATAATCCCATCCACCAGATCTGGCTCTCTCCATAGCTTTCTCAAATGTGCACCGATCCGTAGCACTACCAAGGTCTAATTGCCAGTATCTTGGCGTCAAAGATGTTGTTGTTTTTTCGCCCCTCCATTCATAGATTTGAACTTTGGTTCCGATAGCAACAGCCCCAAACATCGTCCATGATCCATGGGGATTATTATCCCGCAGGTAGTTCTTCAGTTAATCGGCAGCTAATGTCCAGCCCTCACCGGTATCGTGTTCCCAGCTCTTGCATTGAGCAACGAAGATTTCGTGCTCTTGAAATTCGCCCGAGGGTTTTGCCCAGACATACTGAACTTTTACAAGGATGGCGTCGGGTTCTTTCTTATGAGGCGAACCGAGTGTTTTATAGGCAATCTTATGCGCCTTTTCGCCGAGGGCTGGAAACCAAGTGCTTAAGATAGTGGTCCAAAGAATCTGGATGGGCTGTACGTCGACGGCTTTCTCTGCTGAGAAATAGCTGCTCATGAACCCGATGTTGTGAGCATTGAAAACGAGTCCATCATACATATTGCCTGATAGTAACGTGATATCGAAAGATGTCAGATGCTTGATTCAGAGTATTTTTTAAAAGGTCCAGGATATTGTTTCGACGTAGAGATGTCTAATCGACACGGTGTGAAGGACGTCACAGACGCTTAGGAAGTTCGAAGGTTGAGGAGTTCCAGTTTATGCCTGAGGCACCTGATTATCCAATCAACTCCCAGCTCAGCATGAAGTCAAGGTTGGAGCTCAACCTTTGAACAAATCGGGTCAGCTACGGAGTACAAATGATTTGACATACATAGGAGTCAACTTTTTTTGTCTCGTTACTTTCCTACTCTGAGGTCCTTTCGGTATCGTCGGAACCGTCAAAGCCATCAAACCCTTGTACGAATCGCCTAACGATCCATGTAGCCACAAGGCAAACGGCCTGATCCCAGCACGTTGCCAAACAGGGGCTCAAAGAGATCCACTGTCTAAACGGACAGTCATCTCAAAGCATCAAATGATACTTGACGTTCCCTTGAATTGCAAGACGGTTATCATTTGTGGATATTAAAATTTAGGAGATTAATCCAATATAAATTATCCTTTGCATTGCACGTACTAACATTGGTAACTTCGACGCTGTCAAAACTTAAGCTTGTCTCTCGCTTAACTTTTAAGATTGCTTCCTCGCTTCTGACAGTTTAAACCCGCTAGTTCCAAGCTATTGAACAGACTATCGATTCTCATTTGAAAAAAAGAATCATGAGCTGAGAATTACAGGTGAGGTTCAGGAGTTTACTACTATGGAGATGCTTCTCGTTCTGTTTTTTATTTTCTTTCTCTTTTGCATCTGCTTTTAGACTTGTGCTTCATACCTTTCCCCTCGGTCTTTACAAGTGTCGCTCGTTACAAGTCTCTCGTTCAACATCATGCATTTCAAAGGAATTTCGTCAGTGGCTTTGAGCTTGTTGGTGGCGCAGTCAGCCGTTGCAAGCCCGTGTAAACCGGTTCCCTCCCGTGCCAGTAAGTTCGAGCCAATATTGAGTTGGCTATGCTAGTGCCAAGCCACTGGGAATAACTTCATTGTCAGACGAAATGTCTTACTAATTGTGATTAGGCTCAACTATCTTGACTACTGCCTCAGAGTCTATGATATCTATCTCTGCACCGTCTTCTACAGGTTCTGAAACTATTGTCTTAGAGACAACCTCGACCGAGAGTGAGGCTGTTACTACCGTGGAGACGAGTGTCGCAGGTGCTGTTACAACCACTGCGGTTACCATCGATACAGCCATTACCAGCGCGAAGTCATCTACAGAGATTGAAGCTTCTTCCAATGCGATTGGGACAAGTACACTCGCCACTAAGGCTACGACTGTAGCTGAAGGCAGTACTTCCATGGTTGATGACACCACGACTATTGTTGTCTCCTCAGCTGCCGAAAGCGCCACCACCACCACCGAAACAACTAAGGCTGAGGCAGTCACTGAAACTTCGGGTGCTATTGACACCACCGCAACTACCGCAAAGACAATACCAGGGGCTGAAATTACGACTAGTGCAGTTGGTGCGACTACTACCTTAGCTGAAACATCACCAGCATCTACATATGGCACGACAGTCGGTGTCGAGGAGAGCACGGCATTAGCATCTGAGGATGTTACAACAACAACCACGACCAAGGATCCAGCTACGTCCGTCTCTGTGGATAGCACGACGACCGCTGAGGGGATATCAACGACTACCGATGGCACCACCTCCTCTGACCGCAAAACAACAACACAGGATTCTACTACCTTGGTCGAAAGCAGCACTATAACCTCTGATGACAGAACCACTACCATTGCAACTTTATCCGAAGTCAATACTACTACAAAGTCTGACGACGTCGCGAGCACAAATCAGGACACTACGACTACTGCGGTGACTACCTCTGAGAGCGGCACCGTAACTACCACTGTCTCATCGGAATACAGCACTGAAACGGCTGATACTAGCACAACAACAGGAACTGATGGGATTGCGCTCACTACCACGGCTTCATCCGGAGACAGCAGTACGGCGACCAAGGATAGCACAACTGTCATGACTACTTCATCAGAGGGTAGTACAGAAACATCTGGACTGGGACTGGGCACAACAACTTCTAGTGACAGGACTACTACTGTCACAACTTCATCTGATGGGAGCGCTACTGCCATTGTTACTTCATCAAAGGAGAACAGTGCATCAACTGATGGAATGACAACTACAGCTGCTGCTGCGGAGAGTAGCACTACGAGTTCTACAGAAGGTACTACAACAGCTGAACAGAGCACTACAACGACTGATGGGATCACCACCACGACTGTCGAGACAACTACCGCAGCGGGCACAACCACCACTGGCTGTCCTCCTCCAACCACCGTCCTCGTAAACCCTACACCTCTATTCACCTCAGGAGATTTCCACATGGATGAATACGACACCGTTCACCTCCCTTTCCCAGTCGGCATATATGGCCACCTCTCAGACACAGTGTATATTAGTACAATCGGGATGTTGACCTTTGAAGCTCCAGAGAACTTCTACACCGGGAACTACGAGCTGCCCTTTACTACATACTACCCATCAGTGGCTATCTTCCCATACTGGATCGAGTATATGTATATCATGTCCTCTGTTTGCAACTCAGGCATCTCATACGAGGTTCACCAGACGTCCAGGGGCCAGACGTTCACTGTTGAGTACACCATGGCTGTGCTACGTGATGATGCTTCTACACCAACGATTCACTTCACTGTTAGCTTGTATAAAGATCATCCCGGGGTGGTGAGATTCGTATACTATCACACTTATGCTGCTGACCACCCGACTATTGGTGTTCAAGCTGGCGACGAGTCTTACTCGCAGTACTCTTTTGGCATAGCAATGCCGGAGAACTCCTACGTCGAGATTGATACGAGCAGTGGAGATGCTTTCACGAGTAGTGGCCAGCTATGATGAGAATACAGAGTTTGTATAGAGTGACAAAATAGCAGTATAGCATAATTCATCCATAGAGGTAATAATTAATCTATCTAGGAGCTAGCATGACGTCCCTCCATAGTATCGCAAGATATCAGAGTTGCAGTATTCATTTCCATGGTCAAGAAACGTCTTCTCATATAGCAACCAGTTAAGTAGAGAAGACCAGCTACCTCGAATCTGCGAGTATGGAAACATTAGACTGGTGTTCTGAGCTCCTGATCGAAAGGCAGGGATTGACCGATACCGGAAATTATCAAGCCTGCTCCCCGACGAGCAAAGCCGAGATCCCCCCTTGGCGTTCAGACTATGGATAGCATCCTACCACTGGGTCTAATCGCATAATCGCAAAGCCCCATTGACGTGCGCAACCAACTTCTCAGAATCGTCGCGAACCCGTTGGGAGACGGCAATGTGGGCCTGTCCCTGAGACACCGGCAGCTCGACGGCACACAAGTTCCTTACAGGTTTCAGCCTGCCCCGTTCCTCCGCCATTTCCCTTGCGATAAGTTCACCATTGGGACACCCTCTCGGTGACTTATGAATTATGACTCAATTTGTGCAGCTTTGAACCATTTTCTTAAATCGCCCCTTCTGTTGTAGTTTCATGAACCACGTCAAGGCTCTGAGGCGGGCTTTGGAAAGCTAACGGTAGGTGGAGCTTTTGGTTGATATTGTGGTCAACAACGAATGGTGCTTGGTGGCAAATGTCTTGGTGGAAAAATCGCCTGAGGTCGGCCAGTCTTACCGGTGACTCCCTCACCGAGGCGGTAATCAATAATATAATGCCTCAATCGTAAAATCTTCCTTGACTGTGGTGATGTTGTGCATAGAGTGAAACTAACTAATTAGGCTGATTACAGTAACTTAATAGGAAATAAATAGATCTTAAGACGGCAGGTAAATTCCTTACAAATCGGTAATATATGTCTAGGAATAGGTGGGAACCCAACCGTAGTTTCTGGTATGTACGATGGAATTTGTCTCTGCTATAGACTTATTTCAATTCCAGAAAGACGCCATCTTGCCATCCATACTCATTGAATTAACAAGTCGCGACCTAGTAATATGGATATCGGCGTTATTAATGCTATTACTTTAAAACTATATGACGTAACAGGCTGCCTCTACTAATATTATTAAATAATCTCCAGTAATAGGAAATAATTTGCATTAAAATTGCCGTAACATATAAAAAGGATCTAAAGGTATACTGCTACTTTTTTATAACATTCTCCTTAAGCTACCCTGTCTATCTTTAATAAATATTCTACACAAAATCTCACTATGTTATTCTTACAAATTTGGTTGGCTACTATGGTGAGCGTAACCATAGCTGCACCGATGGCAAATGAAATGCTAGATGTCTCCCCCCTCGACAGCAGAGACGACAATAGCGTTAGCGGCTTTAGCCGTCGCCGCTATACTCCAACCTTCAGTGCCCGTCAAGAACCACCAGAAGACGACCCGCGGAAGGCCATAGACCCGCAAAAGATATGTGAGGACTGTAACTGCTGGCTTAACGCATACTATTTGCCACTTCCTGGCCCTGGGAGGTGCCCAGCAGGTAAATGCCACAAATGCAGTGGACACAGCCTATCGAAAGCTTTGCAATCAACGGACCACGTCATGTTAGTTTAAACATTCTCTTTATTATTAGTATGACTTGCATTCAGGACTTGTGGCTAACAGCTTAAATTAGAGACGGGAATTCCTTGACAAAAGAACTATCCTCTCTCGGCCGGATTACGCTCTCAGCCACAGGTCTCAGCGGCAAATAACACTTCTAGCTCACAACTTAGACATTATACCAAGATGTCTGACCAATTGCTACAGCATAAGGCTGATAAGAGGAAAACCTAGATGATGACCCTTTGGCCGACCATCTAGACAAAAGAACATTGTATTCAGGAAGATATTTATTTGAGGAGTAGTAAAGATTAGATTTAATATTAGAAAATTTAAGTTTGAATTTGTGAGAGGATAGGAATTGGCTTCTGCCATGCCCAAGTCTCTTTGTCCTTTAGGATCAAGGGTTAGAGTTTTCTTGCCTCCCCTATCCTCAATATTACACGATACTTATGTTTCATCGACAATATTGCCTCCCTGTTTTGTATCAGAATCAACTCTCAACAACATGGCAAAAGGGTCATCTGATCTAGAGATATCGGCATTGCTCAGTACAGCAGCGGCCGACTGCAAGGTATCAAAGATATAAGCCCTGTCTCTCAATCTGCAGGATCATCAGTATCAGCCCGAGGGCCCGCTCTGTTTTGCCAATCAACCAATCGCCACTGTAAACCCTGTCAGTCAGCGGAAACTGTTGTGCGTTTCCGAATCGACCCTTTTCCGTATTTGGTATGGCAGGTTATATTACGATGCGGATCGTGCGCGTAGATAGAGATGCGTATCAAGCTTGTTTTAAGGTGTATCATTTAATTGATAGTCAAAGTTTATGACACTTAAGCATAATTAAACCTTTGGAGGCAGTTTTGTCTATAGATTTATAGGTACTGTTATGTCCATTGCTAATCACTTCTCGAGCATGATCTTATTTGAATTGACTGATGGTTTGTTGCTTGACCTGTGAGTATTCAACTTGATATCCCGAACTTATTTGCCGCTGATGATCAGATTGCCCCCGTACTGTCATCCAGACCTGATAAGTGTCAGATGCAAATACTACCTTCTCAATTGATTCAAAGCAAAGTCTTGGTCAGCAGAAGAACTTCTGTAGTTTTCGTCTAGTCCCCATTCTCTTCCCGCCGAAGGATTCCTTGGCAACATAAATCCCATCAACCCGCCACAAAGAACCTTATGAATAACCTCACATTTGGCCCCCAATTTAGTCTCGATCAGTCGATACTTATCGAATACGACGCTGAGCATCTCCAATACCATGGTTACGACAACTGCAGAGCCAATGCTATGGTAACAGTGAATGCAGAGGCGGATTGACGTTGCTTCACCTGCCATTTTGGGCCTAGACGCTAGGCAAAAGGAGCTCAGGGAGCAAAAGTGCCAGACTTATCACTGGACCGACTTCCGAAAATGTGTAAAGAAGCTTATTTTGGATACATCTTTCTAGGATCTTTTGATCGGGCTATCGCATTGACTGTGGAGGTTGGAATATCGCGGTGTCGATCGAGTATAAAAGAACAAGACTTTGGCATTCGAATATCAGTTCCTCTCAACTCAGAAACATCAATCAAACCAAGAACAAATATCTTCTCTCTGAGAACTAATCAACCGCAAAAATGAAGTTCCTCCCCCTCGCAGTCGCCCTCTTCGCAACCCTCACCGTCGCCGCCCCCTCCTCACCCAGCGACATCCAAGCCCGCTCATGCGTCTGCAAGAAGGTCGGCGACGACTGGATCTGCACCGGCACAAAGTGCTACGACAAGGTGAAGCGCGACCTCGTCCCTCGCCAGTGCTCGTGCCACAAGGTCGGCGACGAGTGGCTCTGCGGTGGACCCAAGTGCCCCCGCGATCTTCCCGAGGAGAACAAGCTTGAGAAGAGACAGTGTTCGTGCCACAAGGTTGGAGACGAGTGGCTGTGCGGTGGTCCCAAGTGCCCGAGAAGTCTGCCGGCTGAGGAGAGCGGGCTGGAGAAGAGGCAGTGTTCTTGTAAGAAGGTTGCTGGTGAGTGGATTTGCAGTGGACGTAAGTGTCCCCGGGATTTGTCGCACCTTATGGGTGAGGAGTAAGCTCTTGTGGAATGGAGACATAGCGTCGAGTAAGTATCGTCTTCATGGATAAGCTTTGTTCAGAGTCTGACACATTCTTAGACCCATTTGTTATTGCCAAGCTGGAACCATCCGGTCGATCATCAGTTAAATCCACCTATGCAATATTGGGGCCTTGGCAAGAACTAGTTTAAGGTGCAATCACAGATAGTATCACACGAATATATGACTTAAAAACTGAAACGTACCCACTTGTGCTTGATATAAAGGCAGGTGAAAGACGTGCCCTAGCTCGTGAGACAATCATCCCAACTACCAGCGTAAAATCGAGCACCTTCTCAATCGTGTATTCTTTGATTGTGCTACTATGTATGAATGATATCAAGATCATGCTCTCTCTCGCCCCGTTTGACCTTCCATGCCGCACTATGACTTAATCGTACAAGCTCCATAACATACTCACTAATCTCCTGGATATGCTCAATCTCCTCCATCGGAAGCCTGTTAGAAGGAATTTTGCGCGTGATCTTGCTTATCGACGATAAGATATGCAAATCGTTATCTGCCGAAGAACCAAGCGGGTGAATCAGGATGTTCATGAAGAGTGGCATCGCAGCCATGGGTGCATAGTGCGATACTATCCACAATGCGTCTTCTTCCCAGAGTTCCACTATCTGATCCAGGATTCGGAAGATGGACCGACTTGCTTCGATGGAAAGATCAGCGCTGGAGTGGACTACGCTGTGGAGATCATCTGGAAGATTCTCCTCCAAATCGCCGCATTTTCGAACCAGTGTATGGATGTTGATGATGGTGAAGAGGTAATCGAGCTGCAGGTTTATGAAATATGTCCTTTCTTTCATCCGATCTCTCTCATTCAAAGATGCAGGGATTCCAAACACCAAATCTGATGAGATGGACAACCGCGGTCGATAGCTTGCACTGATTGATAAGCGCCATTCTTCAAGCTCATCGTCAAGCTGTCGAACATGCGCGAGAAGTTCACCCTCCGTGTACTTGAACGCTCGTGGAGAACATAGAATGTTGCTTGCGTTTTCCTTGATTCTCGCGAGGTTTGTATCTCGCGGAAGGCTGTGGTACCATAGCGTCTGATCTTCAGCATCACTTATATCGCAGTGATCTGAAGTAAGTAGTGGCGGTTTATCTGTTCGGAGAGACATATCCTTGTCGTAACAGTAACAAATCCAGAACAACCTTCTGGTGTGAAGCCGTGTTTGGTCGTCGAATGTTGGAATGTGTTGGGGGAAGATTGCTGGTCGTGATAAAGGGAAATGGCCGCCAAGATCGCATACCATGCGACAGGCGCTAGCGAAAGTGACAGCTGCTTCACGGCATTGCCCTCGTGTCTTATAGCTTGCCCACTGATTTTTTCAGCCTCTCTCACGATACTTGGTCGCTATCACATCACTTACCAGAAGAAGAGTTCCCTGCAAGCTATCCAAGCTGGTAATACCACCCACGACACCCAACAATCTCGACGCCTCACTCACACAATCCCTCGGCTCAAAAGAAAACCCCAAATGCTGAGCATCAGTCGTTCTAACAACAAGAGCAATCATAGCCCAAAGACAAGCTTCAGCGGGCACCCTCCTCCCCAAATCAACAACCCCCTCGTCAAAAGCCCTCCCAATCGTCCCCTCAAAGAGGCCTCTCTCCAAAAACGGAAAGATAACGGCTGTTTTAGACTTGAAAAATAACTCAACGACATGCGCGCAGATAGCTCTAGGGGGCAGAACCCTCGGTGTTTCAGAAAATGAAACAGAGCCAAGCGACGGCGCAGGATTACCGAAAATGTCAAAGTTCTCAAGAAATACACGCTCCCCTGCACCGTCCGAGATCCACTGCCAGCCACGATCTGAGAGAATGCCTATTCCTTTGAAATACCAGTTTGTGCCGATGTGGCAGCGACATAGTTTGTAAACGGCCTTGGGGCGTGTTGAAGGCGATACGCCAATCGGACTTATCACCGGCTGGCGAGTGATAGGGGAGGAAGCGAAGCGAAGACTTGCTGGTTCAGACCATGGCGAGGGGCCTCCAACGGACATGCTTGTGCTATTCGTCAATGCCGTCTGAAGCGCCTCCTCGAGCGTTTCCACGCGGCGCGATAGTTCCTGGACGACATCGGAAGTAGTTCTGAAAGGGGTCAGTCTGAAGCACCCAATGGAACGGTCCAGCCTTGGCTGTCACAGTAAATTAAAAAAACAAGCTTACCTTTTGTTTGGGTCCTTCTGGATCACTCTATCAAAGGTGCATGTGAGCCCCTGGCTGTCGCACCAGTCACATGGATCACCTTGTGTTTTGATCAGGCATTGAATCTATAGCAAAGGATTATTATAAGTGCTGATGTCATTGTGAGAGAAGGGAGGGAAACAAAACATGTTTTTATTACCTTTCGCTTATAGCATGTGTCGCAGGCTCGTCGGGGAGGCATCGCGAGGGGGATGCAATGTAATCGGAGAGACGGAAGTGAGACGTGGGAGAGATTGACGGAGAGGCGGGTTTCCGTGGGGCAGAAAATGCAGTGTAATGTAATGTGTTGGTGCTAGACGTGTTCTAGTGCTGGCACGTGGATCTGCTGAATTACAGTGTTAGCGAGACAGGGATCAAGATCAAATCATTAGTGGTGTCTGGCGCATTTACCGCTGAGGCCGGAGAGGGGGACTTTTCCTCCTTGTCTCTCAATTGAAAGTGCAAAAGTGGTTGAAAAGGACAGAATAAGCTTGAAGCGTCCAGAGGAGTCGACGTTTCATCCCAATCCCCAAATCTCGATCTGTCAAAGCAGGCCTCCCAAGCTACAGGGTAGCATAAAGTGCTGTAACCTAAGGGCAAACCTTGGACCTGGGTTCGATCGGATCAGCGCTTCCAATTCCTTAACGTAATGCTGAACAATAAGCGAAATTTCTGATATTGCGGGGGGGATCTGATAATTACAAC